ATTTCTAGCCAGATCTGCTCTCTCAAAAAAAATCGACAAAAATTGGCATGATATCCAAACATTGAAGTAATAATAATTGAATAGTGCCGAAATTTACTATGTTGTGCAACACTAGGAGATAAGGCAGCACAATATTAGAATAATTGTGAGATTTTTTCCTGTGAATATGTTTCTTAGGCAGCTTTTTCTTACACAAGTGTGTTGCTCCATTATGTATCTACCCTGGAAGTAACTTGCTCTTGACCTGTACCAGTTTGAGCTTTATTTTCAGATATCTCTCCCTTCTGCGGCAGTTCTCGAAGCATTCGCTGAGCACTTATGAACTTTCAGTGGCTGTGGAAAAGCTCTTACCAAGAGACCTGCAAGTCATCCATGGTGAATTTGTACAAATTTTGTCGGAATCATGTCAGCTGGTAAGTTCTTCTTTACTTCTTCCAACAGTTCTATCGTGGAAATCAATGGAAAATCAATTTTGTTCAGAGTACAGTTTCGAGATCGGTTGAGGACATTCTTATGGGAAAGAAAAGTCGAGAGTTAAAGGTAATTTGGCTCTTATTTGCATCCTTTCATCAGAATTTATTGCGCGGTTAGCGTGAAAATGGTCATGGAAGTTGGGCTGAATTGTTGCATCGTTTCAGTTACTTTCATTTGGAGTGGGTGTGGAGGGAACGCTGCTATGTTCGAGTACTACTCCTTTGTATTTTGTATCGGCTGCTCCGACAATTAAACCCCTTTCATAGCATAAAACCCTGTGCCACACCCTTAGACCACAACATTCTCTCGAAATGGAACACAACATGCTCGAGCAGTCGGCTATAAATTTCAATTTTCAAGCCCCTGTGAAATTATCCTTGTATTAGGTTGGTGCATAAGTTCTTGGCCCCTGTGTTTGATCCTTCCGTATTTCGTTTGCATGGATGTTGGTATATCGTCATCACGTGTGCGTGACGTGGGCACTATACTCTTTATCACACTAGCTATCACTCACCCACCTTGCATTTGCAGGCCACAATGTCGCACAATTTCCACTGTGACAAAATGTACCTGCTGCCTGGTTTTGCTTCACGATTCACAAAAAAAAACGTGAGGAAGCGGCAGTGGGTCGACAAAGGAGAACAGCCAGAAGCCACCCCAAAGGCCGACCTTCACCCCAAAAGGTTCTCCTGTTGGTGGTCCAGAAGAGGCATGGAGTACTGGGAGCTGCTGGAGAAGGGACAGACGATTGACGCTTCCACATATGTTACCCAGCTGCGGAAATTGAAAGATCACGTCGACCGTACTCGTGGATCGAATGCGGAAATCTACTTCCACCATGACAACGCCCGACCTCACACCGCAAAGGCGACCCAGGCCGAGCTGGAGAAGTACGGATGGCTGATGGTCGCCCACCCTCCCTACAGCCCTGACCTCGCTCCTTCTGACTACTGGCTGTTCAGCCACCTGCAGCGCTATCTGGACGGAAAAAAGTTCGAAACAAAGGATCAGGTCAGAAAGGCACTCGACGACTTCTTCAAGTCCCAGCCCCCGTCGTTCTGGAAGGAAGGAATCGACAAGCTGCCTGAGCGCTGGCGTCGAGTAGTGGATGGTGATGGTGCATACCTCTAATCTTCAGGTTGGTTCGCTATTGAGATATTTACGAAAAAGTCGTGGCTAAGAACTTATGCACCAACCTAATATTTCGTTATTTAGCCGCTTCCTACTA